GATCGAACAATAAAAAGCTGTGTTTGTCCGTGTTTCTGTAACTTACTGTTTTTTACCGGGTTGGGTAGTTGACCCTCCGCAAACTGGCACTTTTCGGGCGACCAGACCTATGCACTTTTAGTCGCCTCTTACGACACGCAGTATCACGGCAGGTGTATTCTTTGCTCCCCCACAGTAAAAACTACGGGGCCCCCCACCAGCAGGGGAGAAACATAAACATGCAGACAGATTAATATTAACTAATTAACAATATCGTGAGTGCTTTGAAGGTGCCACGGCTAGGTCCTACTTTACTTTCTATTTGTTGTTTCTGTCTGTCTGTCTTACCTTCTCCTGGCTCTAAATGGCCTTGACTCCATTGTGTCTTTGTTCTTCTCTTTACTCAAACCAAAACAAACAATATTAACAATATGAACACTACGAAATGTTCCAATAATGTTTCTAATTAGTATGTATGTATGTAAGTATGTATGTTGATTCGAAACGTTCCAAAACGTTGTCTTTGATCCTCTGTTGATGGGACATGTGCCCGCTGCGTCTTAAAAGAGTTGGAGAAATCTGCTTTCCAACAGCAATAAAAAAAAGTATGTAACATTGAGGTAGGATGGTAAAGGTTTAAATTAAGTCATCGGGTAAAATAAAAACAAATCAAAACAAAATAAAGCATATGGCACACTAAACAAACGAAGGACAGGGTGTGACAACAATAAACAAAAAGAAACAAACAAACAAACAAGCAAACAAAGAAACCAACAAAAAGGAGAACAAACAGTGATGTCTGTGTCCCCCTTACATTGGTCCCGTCTCCGATCTTCCGTTTTCATCCTTCACTTTGATCTTGTCTGGAGACTTAAAACATACATTATTTAATTCTATCATTCAGTTATGGCAATTATTCGTTGGTCACTTTGATTTTATCTTCGCTCTCAATTTGTATCACTGTCGGTAGGAAAGCTGACTTCTGTTTGCATGCATAGTTTTTTTATGTTTTTTTAAAAATTTATTAATTATTTTTCTTTGCTTTGTTTTTTTGTTGTTGTTTTTTTTCCTTTATTTGTTTGTTTGTTTTTAGTGTTTGTGTTTTCTTGCTTTTTGAGTTTCCATGGTTTTCTTCCTACTGTTGATATTGGCCTCCGTCTATCCTATCTTTTTTTTTGCCTTTGAAATGTTCATCCTTTTCTCCCAGTTTTTATTCTTTCATTCATCTATTCGTTCATTTCTTTAATCAAACACCAGTCCACTCATTCTTTCACCCTTTCGTTCACCCATTTAGTCACCACCCCATTCACTCACTCACTCACTCACTCACTCATTCACCCATTCCTTCATGGATTATTCAACCTTTGAACTGTTCTCCCCGTTCATTCCTTCACTTTCTGCTCCCTCCTCCTTCAACCAAAATAGGCCCCAACTCAACGAGCTGCCTCAACTCTCTTACAATGTTATTAGATAAGGACTCCGAGTGGAACTAACGAGACCTCTCACCAACTTCTTGTACTAAAAGCCCTCTCGTGTGAGGCAAACCACAACACCCCCACACAGCAGCTAACTAATTCGCAATCTTTTTTTTTTTACTGTGACTCAGAACCTTTTCTACTGTCAGTAACTGAGAACCTTTTTTACTGTCACTAACTCAGAACCTTTTCTACTGTCACTAATTCAGAACCTTTTTTTACCGTCACTAACTCAAGAATCTTTGATTCAAGCAAGTCTCACAACGTGCGAGTTTTTCACCATCGCCCGGGAAGTTTCCACACACAGTGAAAGTCCACACGTCACATTTGCAGTTTTTTCTGCTACAGTTGGTTTGACTTTTTTTTGGGCTAAAGTGCACAAGAGTCTGTGGCCCTTTTCTTATTTCCTTAAAAAAAATAATTTTGCGGTCCTTTTGAGGGATTTGCGCCTTTTTTAGATAAGGGTTTTTGTTTTCTATTGTTAATGGTTTTAGTTTTGTTTGGTTTTTTATTTCATTTTATTATTGTTATTTTTTTAAAT